TTGATCGTATGGCATGGCCCGGCCATCCAGGCGTGGTCCCTGCCGAATGTTACCTCATATATTGTATTCATTTTAAATATATTGTTCTACCTCTAGCCTAAGCTTATTCTCCATCATGTATTGTTAGTTGTTACGATTCAGTGACTTGGTGTAGACGATGATGTGACTTCCACGTAAGGTCTTATAGATTAGGCAGTTGTATCATGATAAATCTACAATTTTAGGATTAGGTCTATTATTAGAGCAGTACTAATGTCATAGTATACCATAATTCTACAAGTTCTTTTGAAATATTAATGCCACACAAGATTTTTTACATTGGTGTCCAAACCCATCTCGACTAAATTTCTCCATTTGGAACAAAAATTTACACTCTCAACATTATAATTATTTCCTTGTTAAATTTAAAACTATACTAAGGTAATCTCGAAAGCGATTTTCTGTTGAGAAGTATTTTTCTTCTCTCAGAAACTTCTAATCTGCATCTATCTATGATATAAAACATTATCTCTTTTTTTTACAACGGGAAAGTGTAGTTCTCACCAAGTTCTTGCTAAAAATTTAGGGTAAAACATTCAGTTATTAGTGCTAGAAATTGCCGTGAGACTAGCTTTGACACCATACATTTTTATGAACGGAGCTCTCTTGCTGTGGTTATTGACATACTGTTACATAGTTACGTTTGCAGTGGTACTAGTCCATAAACACACGGTCTTCGAGACTGAACATATATTACTGATAACATTCACTTTCAACATACAATAAGTGAAGGTCAAAAATGGCGAGCGCACGAACAATTAGTTAAGTTAATCAGGTGGCATGGATCAGATCTGGTCATTTTTTTGTAACTTATATCTTATTCATATTAAACATATTAATAATGATATATTGTTCTATCTCTAGTTAAATGTGTTTTTTAGAGACGATAAACACTATATTGCTGATTGTTACGAAACGACGAGTCAGAATAGACCATGATATGACTTCTACCTAAGATCTTGTAGATTGGGTTTTCACATCATCACGAATCTAAAAGTTTAGGATTAAGTCTTTTATTATAGCAGTACTAATGACGAACTGATCTATAACTTTACTACTTATTCTGATGACGAAAGTGTTTGCACGGATCCCTGTGCATGGGTAACTGTAGACTTGTAGAATTATGATATACTTCGATATTAGTATTGATCCAATAATAGACTTAGTCCCAAAATTGTAGATTTGTCATGATTTAACTACTTAGTCTACAAGATCTTGCGTGGATGTCACATCCTATATTTATCCTAAATGTGCTCTACAGAAGTGCTTGGCATGAATTCGTTAATTATTACGACACGATGAATCAGTGTAGACAATGATGTGGCTTCCACGTAAGATCTTAAACATTAGGCAGTCATATCATGACATATCTACAAGTTTAGGACTGGGTTTACTGTAATAATAGTACTAGTAGCGAAGCAGACCATAATTCTACATCTACTTCCTCACTTACATATGGCACGTTGCAATAAATTGGACATACATGCTGAAGGTGTCTGAATTCAAACTGAGCTTGAAATAAAAACAAATCACTAACAATCAAACCATTAACTAAAAACCTTAATTTTCGTCTAGATCCTGATTTTTGTTTCTGCAAATAACCGTTTTTTACCATATATGACTTTTAAATGCAGCCAACAGTGTAGCTTGTTTCTAGGTAGAAATCCTGATTGCATAAGGCTTTATGGAGTCTTGATGCAAGGTAGCTTTGACTTTCAATGTTTGTGATGCCACTGGTAGTTGGACAGCATAATTCAAAGTTCAAGCGAAAATCGACAAAGATGTTTGTTTAGCTTAGTAGTCATGAAAACGGAATATGTGGCATGCAGAAAGGAAAGCATGTAGCGTTAGGACTACAAAATGTACATCATGAAGTAAATGGTCTATTAAGAGGTGGGATACTGATTGGTAAGTGGGTGATATAGTCATAATGTGGCAATTGGTTATTCAAGTATACGGTTGGATGTTGGATAGCCTATCATTAAGTGTAGCCTGACTTGTATAGGCTGCACTAAGTATATGATCTACTTATAGCGCTTTCGGTTCCTAACCACACGAATTACGTAGCCGAAAATATAACTACTGCCAAAATTTACACTCAACATCTAACACTGATTAGAAGATTGAAAATGGTGAACGTGGGAACAGAAATGGAAGTAGCATGACTAGATCGTGTAGGCGTGGTCGCTATGAAACGTATTCCTTATCATATCTAATATCTCGTTTTATTCGCATTTCAAACGTATTCTTTAGAAGTGCTAAACATCGTGTCGCTGATTATAACGATAAGATCAGTCAGTATAGATAATAATGTAACTTCCATGTATAATCTTATAGGTTAGGTAGTCAACAATTTTGGGATTCTGTCTGTCGTTTAGCAACAAAGACAAATGTATTAATATCCAGTTCGATAATAATTTTACAAGTCCTTTCTTTGTATTTGACCCTTCAGCTGTTCGCGAGAACTGATAACAACTTAAGTTGAAAAGGTAAGATTCGACCTCAGACAACTAAGTAGATGCCAAAACAATAGAGCTCAAGTATTCATTCACTTCCTTATTTTGTGTAGACGTTATATTTCTTGTTATCTCACATTGAAATTTGAAAGCTTTGTGTGTTTAAACTGGTAATCCCCAGCTTCACTGTGACTAACACGCGATTTAAATATAGAACTATTCACTACTTGTCTGATTTCTTATATCGATAGAACGAGGGTTACCTGCAGGCACAAAAACTCGATGTGATCATTTATGTCGCTGCACAACTTTAAACCATAGCCGTTCATAGCAGCAGCACAGTTGCTCTTTCTGTCCATACAATACTTTTCCAGGACGCAAGTAATTCAATGACTGTGCAAACAAACTGTTTTGTAAATCTGAATAAATCTCTACAGTAAAATTCTAAAAACCAGTTGACACAAATACTGCTTCACAGTCGAATTACATGTTTATAAACATAGTGTTCTTCACAAAAGGCTGTGTGTTAATTTTATTTATATCCCCTCGCCTTACACTCTCCTCATGAACGAGGTTTTTCCCTTTTTTATACCATTTACTAATATTCCTAACAATTTCTATGCATATGTCATAACAAAAGTCTGTTGTATGATATTCAAAATTGTTCACATATATTTATAGTGTTCACTGTACTTATGATCACGGTTACTTTCTCGCACTCCCTGTATTAGTTATTCTCGAGTTCGCATGGTCATTGAATCTTTGTTTAAACGTAACGGTTTCCATATTTCTTTGCTTCTGGTCACAGCATACTTGTTGATGAACTATCACCAAGTATAGACGCAATTATCGACTATCGTTTGCACTACCCCTGCTTACTTACTTACTTACGCCGTGGAGAAACGTGAGCCACCCACCAGCAATCCCCACCCAACCCTGTCCTGAGAAATAATTTCCAGTTCTTTTTAGCTGCTATTCAACCTTTTCATGTATGCTTCCAATTCCCGACGTAGTGTTCTTCAGCCTTTCTCTTTTCTGTATCCTTTCAGGGTTCAAAATTAGCACGTACCTAGTGATACACTTTGGTGATTTCCGCAATGTAATTTCTTTCCAGTTCCAACGTCTTTCTCTAATTTCCTCTTCAGCTGGAAGCTGGTTCGCACTACCGTATGTCATAATTATTCTTTATGCTATCATTGCAGTATGCCATTTGTCTTTCAGACTTACAGATGAGCTAAGCATCACAGGTAGCTCACAGGCTGAGGTTCGTGACAAATTTATGCCTGTTCCTCGATAACCAAACGTTGTTTTAGAAACGTCGTTGTTATATGAACTATTTCACGCTTAACTTTACTTTGTGATTAGACGCTTGATTAAAATTAACACTATGTTTGCGCACAATCCGTGGCTGACACAGCAGACCCAATAAGCCTTGCAGAATCCAAAATAATGGTCTGCGTCTCACTAATGCTTCCTACTATAAATCGAAATTTCTCAAGTATCTGTTGGGAGTCCTAACTTTCTTGTTCTGTTCGTGCGAACATAACCGGAGATCTATGACCGCAGTTATCAGTCACCATTGTCTGGAGGGTTTATAATTACCGACATTACGTAATCCAGACACTTATAGTAATTTCCCTTGGTCTATATTGTATGCAATGTGTTTCTGCATATAACGTTTCGAAAACACATAATCCTCCATAGTTGATCACTTGTACTCTATGTTTTTCCTTGTCACCTGGCTAGTCTCTTCATCATATTGCGTACTTACATTCCGAATAGTGTGTAATGTGAACAAAATATTATTAAAATGATCGAAACCAAACAGTATGTAACCGTGAGTCAAAGCGAATCTTTAACGGACTTCTAAAAATTCTTGACATAATTTTCATGTATAGCTCTACTACATGTTTAATATTCTGCTCTTCATCAGCTCCCATCACAATCAGAGGGAGTGTAGTGAATGGAGGGTTAGTGTGGATAACCAATTTATTGTCTAACGTTCCACTATACCGTGGTGTGAAAATTACATATCAAATATGTCACTCGCATATCTGCTTTGAGTTGCACCCATCTCTCCTATTCATTTCAATTTTTTCAAGATTTTCTCGCAAACATTCTACTCCCGACAGGTGTTGTATACTACTTATATCTGCGAACATAAGTAGCATATACCAAAGAAACACACCTTCACTTTGCTTAGAACAAAATTTTCAAGACCGTGAGTTATTTTTCAAATGTCAGTATTATAGCACCCATAAACTGCGAGGGCGAGACTGCTCCTTTTGCTTGCATTAGATGGGTCAGTGTACCTTTCACCATTTTAGTCCCTCGCCACTTTACTTGTTGTAGTGAATCTTATATATACTTAAAATAAAATCCCGTTCAAATCTCACTTTCCAAAATTCGAGTATTAAACGTTTTTACTAAGAGTAGCATTTAATTTTTGGCTATTAACCAACTCAACCAGTAACTGTAAGTCTTCTTATCACAACCTTACAAAGTTGGTGGGAGTTCAAATGTTGCGCTACTGAAGTTGATGGTCGTTTTCCGCTGGGCTTTAACGTATAGGCCTTTTGATGCTGGAGTCAAAGTTTGTACTTATACTTGAGGTATTTCGAAGTTTCAGAGGCTTACGCACTCAAGTGTCTACTTGTCACGTCTTCCAGACCACGACTCCAAGGAGCTTTTACAAAATGCCCTTCGGGATTTACATTTAATTGTATCTGAAATAAAACATGTAGTTTCTTGTTCAGCCTTATCAGTATTTTGGCATCATAGAGTCTATGTCCAGCGTTTCCAGCATTCCAAGATTTGCTACGCTATCAGTTTGAATCTCAGGGAAAGCTTGTTCGTCCATTGCTTGTTACTCTCGCCGCAGCGTGCGCAAATTCACACATAGAATGCAACAATCCATTTATTGTAAGATATGAGTCATCTGTAGCAAGCCGTGTTAGGAATCTTGGTAAGTGTTGTGCGCAGTTTACTTTGAATCGGCTTTATTTAGCATATTTAGTCTCTCCCGAACAACATGAGATTGCCAAGATCACCGAAATGATCCATACAGCAAGTCTTATCCACGATGACTTAATTGACTCAGCATCTGTCCGAAGAGGGAAAACATCGGCTTACAAAGCCTTTGGACATAAAGAGGTTAGTTAACATTAATCTGCAAAGTTTAATGGTCTAAGAAAATTTAAAAAATAATCGACACTTCCAAAAGTGACTCTCAGTTGTTGTTTTAGACAAAACAAAGTTCAGTATCATTACAATCAGGCATGTAACTGAATAATGCCAACTTCAAACGTTATTTCGCGCTAGAAATGAGCTCTTTACAACTTGTTTTTATCTATATAATCATATGTTGTCATTTTGCATATATTGACATGCAGGTGTGGTTGGTAGGTGTTGTTACTTTATGTAAGAGATGAAAACATTATGTCGGCTTTTTATGTATTACTAAAGTTGAGGGTGCTGTACTCTTTTCAAGACATATCAAGTCAGCAAAAAATGTGAGGGAACAAAAACGTGACTAGCTTGCACTAGTTCATCTTGGGATTTTCTTTACCATCAAAACACTTTGAAGTTGTACAGTCTAGTGTATTCGTATCATTAGTCTGCAACAACAGTTTGAGAATACCTTGATGCAGTTTAACGAACAATATAAGTTATGTGCAAATAACAGTTGTTTTGAAAATATCCAGGAGCAAACTTCATCCACAATTTGAGTAGAATCTGTTAAAAATGTGGATCAGCTAAATTTGCTAAATAAAATCAGCGCAACAGCTAAAAATTAACAGGATGAGCAGTAAAATACTTGAAATAATAGCATGAATAATCGTGAGAAAGACTAATCACTTAGAATGTTGAAAAAGGTTTGAGGGAGTTATGAAAAACAATATCTGGAGCGACGTGAGGAGGAAATCCATTTGATTTACGTTGGCAAACTGAGCCATGTCACCTAATATCAACCACTGATCATGACCCGCGAACCATGACTACGTAGTGTACATCTACTACTACTATGTTTCAAAAACTAATTTTGTTGTCATATAAAATAATTCATGTTGCAGTGGATTTTAACTACCTTTGTTTATAAGAAATAGGTTTTACGACTTATATTTCCCCTTATACTTTAGTCGTTATCGGGTCAAAATCATACATAACGACAAATGGCTTTTCTACCTTATTATTGTCTAAACCAATCCATATTTTCCATTATGCACATAGTATATCAGTTCTAGCTTTTTGTTAATTCAAATTTAGCAAGTGCCCAAGTGCATTATTCCAATATGTTTGTACGTTTTTACTTCAGGCAGTTTTGGGAGGCGACTTCATACTGACACATTCATCTCGTTTATTAGCCCAGATAGGAGATACTGGAGTGATAGCTGTTCTTTCTCAAGTTATTGAAGATCTCATTCATGGTTCGTATCTGTTTGTTCTATGTTAATCACCTTCCGTTTATAGGTGAAATGATGCAGCTTGCACCCAACAGCGATGATGATGATAGAAGGTTTCAAACCTATCTGACGAAAACCTACCGAAAAACAGCGAGTCTTATTGCTAACAGTTGTAAAGCAGTAAGCTTATATATATATATATATATATATATATATATATATATATATATATATATATATATATATATATATATAAAATAGTATTTCTTGTTTATGTATTTGATAGCTTTTAGATTTATTGAGTAATAATGCAGTAGATGTAGTTAGGATGTGTTGGAGTTTGTCTTTAATTCAAGATCATTATACCAGTCTCTTCCACAACGTTTTTACCATTCTTAAGTGTTCATATTTTACGAATGCAAATAAGTATATACATACTTGTTAACATCTAAAAATGTGGTTATCACACTCACTGATTCATATAAATACGACTTATTAGGCTTTGAAAACGAAATCCTCGGGAGACAAATAGTTCTTAGCACGAGGTATATGAAATGTCTCACGTAAATGTAAGTGACATATACCGTTTGAAGATATTCTCCAAAGTGCTCAGGGGAATGGTCAACGTGGCTCAAAGAAGGTTACTTTTTGAGATAACCTTAATTTTTGACAAAACTTTAGTAGATTTTATGAGGAGATATTGGTTCTGTTCAAAATTCCATTAAGATCTGGGAAGAACTCAGTATATTAAAATGGACTTTCCCAATTCTTTTGTGAAGATATTATCACTAGTACTATTATTAACTTTTCATTAGGAGGGACATTTTAATTTAGTGGGCTTTGAGCCACACTCAAAGTGTAAGTGCCAGTGATACTATTTGGTTGCCTAAACCGAAGGAAGTGAATCAGAGTTCAAACCTGCCACTCAATGACTAAAAGTCAAAAACCCTAAACCACTTGGCCACCACTCTGAAGATTGCACGAATACCAACCTGATGTTTGCCTTATCTATCATCATTTAACACACTCCATTTTTAATTCACTCCCTTGATCTAAATTAGTGATGGTCAAAATGAGTCATGTAGGTATTACCATGACCACATTCTGAGTTGTAGTGTCTTGTTGATAGTTCACTGGAATCATGTTACATCAGTTCTTCATTCAGTTTGTCATCTACTAAAGAATTTTAATTTTCATAGTCAACACAGTAAATAATCACCCTAATTTACAAAGTTATCGACGAACTATGTCTGTTTGGTTTTAGATACTGATTTGATAAAAAAAACTACTGATAAGCAAAGTTGGGGTTTATCACCGAATGGTGATGCTGTAATTAAAACAGTTAGTGTTAAAAGTCACGTCGAGATTAAACCGAATTGTGCATGACAAGTTGTTATCAGTAAATGTCTTAGCCAACATATCTCCCAGTTTTGTGTCATCTGAAATTATGGGAGATAATTGACAGGTTTTGTGTGTATCTTTGTGGTTATTGTGAAAGGTTTACTTTCTATTCCTTGGCCAGACTAAAAATTTCCTTTCAGGTTGCTATGTTGACTGTTCCAACGCTATCACAGCGGCACATTGATAATATGTACGAATTTGGCAAACATTTGGGAATGGCATTTCAACTAATCGATGATGTGTTGGACTTTGTAACTGATGAGGCTAACCTGGGCAAACCTAGTGGAGCGGATCTACAAATGGGTCTTGCAACAGGACCTGTATTGTTTGCTGCCCAAAGAGTAAGTTCTGATTAATTATGTAGTTAAGTTGCCATCATCCGTGGTCTGTGCTTAGCTAAGCAGTTAGATTTTGTCTACTGTGAATGATAACTACAGCTCCAAAAAAATATATTCGCTTCAATCGTCATCCTTATAAATTATACTCACAACTATTCAATAACATTCGTTGCTATTTGATATTGCATCACTTGTATATTCCCATTTTTGTGTATTCCTTTATTTTCCAACTCATACAACATCTTGCGTATGATCAATATCATGTCCTATCTAAACGACCTCAGGTCACTAACTGGTCAAATGTTGAATGCTACCACTGAATACCGATTTCGACCCAGTCTATCTGAAACCATGTATGCCATTCAGACTACCCTATTTCAACGTTGGTACACTAATACAGATTGAAAAACAGACAGGGTTGACTATTTCTTTAGAAAGTCTTAACATCGATGTCTGTTGTATATCTGAGACCCGTATTCAAGACTAGTGAAATGCTCACATTCTCTCTCGATCTGTTGCTTCAAAAAGCTTGTTTTGTGTGTGTTTATCTGGGGACCCTGTGGTATTTCCGTCCAGTTTTGCTGGCGTCAGTGCCACACTAAGCGCTAGTGTGGAGGTAGCACTAACCGATTGGATCCCTATTAACAGTCGATCGTGTACTGTAATATCGGAGAGCTCTATCAAAGTGAGGAGTCGGTGTAAGAAACAATGTCTTTTTGTTATCTCCTCCCACCTATCCCCGACAGATTGCAGCCCTGTTTCAATCAAGGATGAGATATATCACCAAAAATTACATTAGACAGATATTATAGTACTAACTGCAGATTTATATACGCAGGTCGGTTTTCTAGACACAGGAGAATCGTTTGACTGGTCAATGAGGACTTTTTGGTCCCAGCTCAATTAACGGCGATCGTCTACGGCAATTTCGCTCAGACTAAAATCTATTTTTAGCTAGCACTACCACCAACCAGGCTAAAACGCCGGACATTCACTTCCCAGTTACGTAAACAACACCCCAGCCGCGAGAAGGCAATGAGTAGGACTTCCCTGGCAGTGGCGTTATACGCGCGGCTGTGTGAGAACATTTTAAGAGAGAGAGAAAGAGCAGACCCTCTCCATCCTTAACCGTACCAGGTTATTTGCGGACAACTATCAGCACAGTTATTTCCCATATGCTACCTGGTATCCTCCCTTTTTATCTCAAGTCTGGATTCAGATTGATCACATTGTGACCAGCTAACCCTGGGGTGCTTATGTACGAGACTTCCGCTCCCTTTGCAGTACTTATCTGGACTCTGATCATGTCCTTGTTTGCGCTAATTTCATCTTACGTTTCATTGGCTAACAAATTCATCATCTTAAACGGATCGATGGGAGCAAACTGGTTACAGCTTCTGTCCCAACTGAATATCAAACTGAGATAAGTTTTATGCTGGTTATCAACTGACTGAAAAGTATAGACGAGTTTCGGTACGGCTTCGCAAAGTACGACGAAGTCCTTAGAGGCTATAAAAAAGCAGAAGACATTCCATCCAATCAGAGTCCGATAAAGCCTTCTAGAACATCAATGTGGCATGCTACGATTGAACGGTAGCATAACTTGCCTACTTGTGGATTGATTGCATTATTATGATGCTATAGCCAATATTAATAACTATAAAAATACCCGTGTATTTCTGTACATTTTTGATTCTTACCGCATAGTCACTTCCCTTGCTTCTTTTGTCTTCGGATTTGCAATAGTGAGGTTTTATACGTTCAAGCTAGAAATCTGACCTGCAGTATTTTTACTTTTATCATAAAGTAGTTTGATAGTAGGTCACAAGATTCTTTTCAGTAAATGAGTAGTTAATTAGCTACGTACCAAAAATTACTTTTAATTCTATTTCGATGAAATGATCTACTCAAAATTGGAGCATTTATTATTGCAGTGATATTTATTTGATTAGAAGATGAAAGGTGCTTAACAATTTATCAATGAGTTATTTCTTTCTTCAACTTTTAGTATCCTGAACTAAACGCCATACTGCTGCGGCAATTCAGTTTAGATGGGGATACTGAAAGAGCTTTAGAACTGGTTAAACAGGTAACAGTACAGTATTTGTTCCTCAGAAATATTTTTTTGTTTCTGTACTTGCAACTTATCAGCTTTTTCATGTTTCCATTCAATTTCGAATCAGATGCCTGTTGTTCAAAAGATTGGATCCACTGTCTAATGATAGCTGCTAATAAAAGTATTGACTGACATAATTGTAGTTAGCGGGGAAGGTAGTAGTATAACCTTAAAAGGTTATACATATTCCGTTAGATATATGGTTTTAAAAGTATGGAGGCTTTTTCATATCGGTCTCTTCTATTATTGCAAAGCATTTTACTTCTGTTTGTCTACTTGGTGATTAGGAGTGAGGATAAACCCTCTTCTTCACATTTTCACCATCGTGATCCGTAATGGAAGGTGTGTTTCATTCTTTTTTGTTTTTGCGGGCTTACATGAAAGATGTAAAGTTTTCTACAACGAAACTACCCTCCATCATGCTACGTTTGTGTCAAGTGTAGTTCACTCAGTCATGATAGAAAAAATTACAACATAGCAAAAGTCATGCCTCCAAATAATTCTATAATATAAACTATTACAAAATATCTGCAATTGAATAACTAAGTAAATAAAAACGTAACCTTAATTACTGACTACGATACACTCAAATGGCTTGACAACGTGGAGTTTATATTCAGCCGTGATTGCTTATCGGGATAGTGTGAGTTATTGGAATTATTAGGTTATTTAGTCGAATCTTATCACAATTTTACCATACAAAGCATCTACAATAGTTATTTACACATTTGTAATAAATGTTCATCAACATTGGAGTAAAACTTAGTGTTGTTTCACCAAACCTAAAATTTTGATTGCATTTTACTCTGAGTACATTCTTTCTCAATTTGTCTTGCGTGCTAGTTATTATAAATTATTTTTTCCGTTCTAGTATCTTCATTAGTTTTTACTACACTAATCTATGGAGAACTTATACCACACGCTAATTTGTCACGTAATACAGATTAATAATTACTTTTCTTGTTTATAAATTACTGAGCTACTCAGATTAAAGTAGATAAGACGTGTGATCAAAGAGTTGACAATTTAATTTTTACATTCACTAAGCTATAATCGCACGCTGCCATCGTACATCAAAACACAATCTAACTTCTACTAGTTTAACCTAGCATATGTTCCAAATCTAGAAAATGCCATGTCAATATTTCATTAAACAACTTGACTTTTCTGCATAGAAAAAACCAGGTGATATTTTTTTATTTCTACTTAAAACGAAGTACCTAGTTGTAAACATATAAATATTTCTGCACAACCATTTTCAACAGTACATTGTATGACGCTAGGCTTTTAGTAGATGAATCTTTACTGTCAAAAGTTTAACCCTTATTGGTTTTACTTCTAACGTTTTGTTTTTAACTACGATCACTAATACTATATCAAGGTTTGGGATATAGACAAATTTAAGATTAGCTGTATTGCAAATTTGTCATTTTCTTCTCTATCCAACTATTCACATCTAAAAATTCTTTAAGAAATTACACTATCTCATTACCAGTACTATTCATTTGTGATGACTTTAATTCGATAGTCTATATTTTGTGACTTTACTCTCGTAATATAGTTTTTCCTGGTCAACTTTTGTTTTACTTTTGTTGGTTGATGATTTGCAGTCCGATGGAGTTGGTCAGACTCGGATGTTAGCTGAATTTCATTTCCAGGCAGCTCAAAGATGTTTATTTCAATTCAGGGATTCTTTATCAAGAAAGGCTCTTTTACATGTTGCAGCGAATTTCCTACAACGTGATCGATAAAATCGTATTTCCTCTAGTCAAATCTTATTTTACCCACCTTTCTATTTGTCTGTTTAGCCTTAATTTTGAACAATTTTAACTGTTTCTTTTTCCTGGTTTACATTCACAATACCTAAAAAACGGTACATTACACTTAACTAATAGATATTTATCCTAATTTGTATTTTCAGTCTATTCTTATTACTTTGTTATCTAGTTTAGACATTAATATGCAGAAAAAGATACTTCCGTGATATGTTTAAATCGTTTGCCTTTGTTGATATATTAGTATTAGTCTGTAACTTATTTCGATAACCGCTCAACCAGATTGCTATTTTTTTTAGAACTGGTCTTTCAGCGTTTGTTCCTAAAAATAACATATGTCAAATATATATCTGTTGTAAAGAGCTCTTTTGGGCTTTTATATATCACTATAAAAAACAAATAACACTTAAATTAAATTTGTGTTTACAGTCGTAAGTTGAGCGTCATTCCGAATGAACAAATTTAAGCTTATTCTCAGAAATATGTCGTCGAGTCTGCTCAGCAGCTGATATTTGTACTTGATACTTCAACTTACTCTGTATAGCTTTTTGTATCAACTTTCCGAAGTTGCCTAATTTATGAAGAGAGGTGAAGAATACTGCTGGTCTCTCCACATGTTCGTTCCCAAATTTTTGTGTATATTTGACTTGGGTATTTTTGTATTGTCAGATTAATCCGAAATATCGTCATGACAGATCGCTGACTGCACCTAAATTCTCTGTGTTCTTCACCCGGCAACACATTTTATTCTGAACAGGCAACAGCGAAGTGAGGTTCTGTTGTGTAAAGGTAGCTTTTTGAAAGCATAGCTTGGTTCATACACTACTCGTTGTTCTCACTATAGTCGGACAAGTAGGGTACCTCAGATCTATCTAACGTGGATTTTCCTAAACTACGAATTACCCAAAAGAGATTTGATGATGGACAGCAGTTTAGTGAAATGTTCCAGGACATAGTTTGACAGGAGTGTTGGAAATGAGATGTTACCGGCTAACTAGTGCTTATTGAAGGGTTTTTCTGACAACCTCAATCATAGTTTGCGTTTTTGTTTTATCTCAAAATGACTTATTGGATACATTAGCTTCCTCCAAATATCAAAGTGTGGGTATAGCTAGGAGTGCATCCTTCCTAATGAAAAAAGTTGCATTTCGTCAATAAATTGGCAATTTCTACAGAAAATTGATCCGTCTTATTAGTTTTCAAAATAATGTCAAACAGCCTTGGGAACCACGGCGAATCTTTCAAACAAGAAATCTCTGTAAATCGTAAAACTGAGATTGTGGAGAAGACTTGTAGCTCAGGTAGACGATTTTGATGGAGATTTGTCCACTGAGCTAGATAGTTGTGGGGTTTTCATCCGATTGATATCATCAGCACAAACTTCAGGTAGAAGGCAAGTTTTCAGAAAAGCGATGAAAACTCCACGACTAAACCATCCAGCTCAGAGAAGGAAACTCCATAAAAATCGTAAACCAAGATTCTGGATAGCTAACGTACAATAATACTCAAGCCCATGATTCGCGAATCCTTCATCCTTTGTAGCTTTTTATCATTTACTTGCCGTGCTTTTAAGAGTACAGTTGTTCGTGTTGTCGCGACGTGATCAGTCATATCGCTATTCTCAGATTCAGTAGGTCTCAATATACACAAAGGAAAAGGCAACATTCTCAAATACAACACGCAGAACACCAACTCAATCACACTTCGTGGAGACTCTGAAACATGTAGAAAAAATTCACATATCTCAGCAGTATCATCGACGGACATGGAGGATCTGATGCATATGTGAATGCAAAGATTGGCAAGGCAAAGGTAGCGTGTCCACAATTGAAGAATATATAGAACTCAAAACAACTATCAGCCAACATCAGAGTTACAATCTTCAATACGAACGTCAAGACCGTTCTACTGTACAGAGCTGAAACTTGGAGAACCATTACAACCATCATCAAAAAAGCACAGGTGTTCATAAACAGTTACCGACGCAGGATATTCAATGTTCGCTGATCAGATACTACTGTGGAAGAGAGTAAACCAGCTTCCAACTGATGAAAAGGACATTAGGAAAAGACGCCTCAAGTGGATAGGACATGAATTACGGAAATCATCAAGCTTCACCACGAGGCAAGCGCCAACTTGGAATCCTGAAGTCAAAAGTAAAAAAGGAAGACCAAGGAACACATTGCGCCGGGAATTGATGGCAGACATCAAAAGAACGAACAACTGGGAAGGATTTTCGAGGACAGAGTTCTATGGAGAATGCTGGTGAGCTGTCTATGTTCTTCCACGAGTGGTAATAAGAGTAAGTATTCACTCACGCCAATTTCGTCTATATTATCCAGAGTTCATGATACGTTCTGAGTATCGGCTTCAAGTCCTCAATTAGCTTATTAGTAAAACGTATGAGTGATCAGTTGAACTGTAAGTGGGTGATTCATTATGATCACATCATCGTAAATTTTCTGCATTGACCAGGCTGCTGTTTAAAATTCTCCATGAAAACCAAGTAAGCTGAACGTCATCTTGCTAAAGGCGCTCGGAAATACATCCATACCAGACCATGAGTGGGTACGCCGTGGTTAACTTCTGCAACCGCTAACCAGGTTAGAGTGAATACTTCTCTATATATCGATAATCTATCAAATACATTTTCGAAATTCTTCGCTTCTGAATTTTGCTTTGACTAAGTTGATACGTTTCGATTATAGAAGCTGTTACTGGTACTTTAGATTGAAACAGTCTGGAAGTTAAGCTTCCTTGCTTTGTGGAAAAAGTCCTCAAAACAGTACATTTTATTGGCTCTGGAATCACAATGGAAGAGTTAGCCTGAGTATCACATATAATTCATTTATTAATTTGAACACATAAATATTGGTACAAGGGGACACCAAATATATATGCGCCACACAAAACAATGAGAATTTAAAGAGAAGGGAAAAAAAGGTAAGGAACGTAGGGAATTACAAAAAAGGAACAAAAATGGGGGAAACGGAAAGGTAAAATCAGACGAAATCTTACAGTTAAGGAAGAAACAACCACTCTTTACGAAGAAATTAAAGGAAGGTTACAGCAGGATCGCCACTGACTTCTACTCTGAGCCATGTATAATAACTTCTTTAGCCACTGTATTGCACCACCTCTAGGTCCACAGCCAGGGAGTCGTTAAGGACCAACAGAATCCAGTCCTCTACAGCTTTCTTTCGTACCACGACACCATGTCTTACACGGACCACCTATACACTTTCCCCGACCAGTCCCAGCGTCCGCAAATAATGCACGACGTGGAATCCTCTGGGACGACATTCAAAGAACATGTCGAAGCACCGAAGTCGGTGTTTCAAGATGGTTACACCAATTGCATTACCGTTTCTGCGCCCGAACACATGATGCCGAACCTCTGCATCACTAACATTGTGTTGACACTGGATGTCAGCAATTTTTCGGAGACGGCGATGATCGAACACAGAGAGTCGTCTAAGATCCTCAGCTCGGAGAGGCCAGGATTGCATGGCTGGGGCATTCTCGCACAGTAAGACAATATCATCCGCATACTCAAGGTTGAGAAGTCTTTCTCCAGGCAACAGATTCGCTTGCCCCCAAATGCCCCGGTATGGCCGAGAGTTGGGTGGGTTCGCCCTCCCTCTCGAAATACTCTCACACGGCCACGCGTATACAGCCTCTGTCAGGGAAGTCTTAATCACTGCCTTCTCGTGGCGGGGGTGTTGTTTACGAAAATGAGAGGACGAAAAGCGGATGTCCGGCGCTTTAACCGGATCCCAAAACAATTATGCACATGGGCTCCAGTATCCTGAGGGGACAAATGGCGTATGAACCAATTTCTTGGTCACCGGCTTCCATGAGACTGCATCTCCTCACGATGCTCCACTGCCTTGTGGGTTAGACCTTTAGGTCGAAGGCTTGGGGTGTGGCCCCCTAAGAAGACCACCTGCTTCGCTTTGGGCACTCGAGCAGTATCTCAACCTACGCACAAATATGATGATAATTACAAATAATGATAGTCACATCTTTCTGTAGTGGACAGTGAGAGGAGTTGGATTTATCAATGCTTTTCACCAATATAATTCTATGTCTACCGGCCTTAAAAATGAAGTCTTTTCTTGATTTCCAGTTGTGAATAACAATAATAATGGTAATTTGTTCTCAAATAAGAGTCTGTTACATGAAGAATGCCAGTTTACAGGCAAGAGCAAATTGTTACGGAAGATACAGTTTGTTATTTTATAAGGTACACTAGTCATTGAATTATGGGCGATAACACTTCTCACATTTGATTGCAAATAATATTAGTTAGATTCGTCTTGTAAATATGGCAGTTGACGCGCTTTAGTAGGTTGCACGGCGATTTGCAACTGATGGTCAAGAATAAATCCACAAACAGTTGTGAGTTTCTAGAATTCGCGACCTTATATCCTTCTGGAACAGCTGCAGCAATAATGATGGCGCAGGACAAAGTCACCCGTTTCATATGTGTTTTCAGTGCCATATATATTGAGGGAGCTGGAAAGAAGGGTAAGATGTAGAAAGGAAGAGTGAGTTGGTGTAGACGATGATGTGACTTCCATGTAAGATCTTATAGATTAGGCAGTTACATCATAACAAATCTACGATTTCAGGATTAGGTCTATTATTTGAGCAGTGCTAATATCATGGTAGACCATAATTCTGCAGGTTCATCGTGGCTGTCCGGCTGTGTATAGGATGTTGACTCTGTAAAAACTTCATATATGTGTGGACTGGTTCTCTGACTACTTCGGGAAAACTTGCTATTCTCTCTGGTTTATCATAACACTGACTTGAGGTTCCACTCAACATACAGTGGTTGTGAGGATATCCAACGTCTAATACAATAGCATCAGAAATGTGACTAGAATTCGCATCGTTCGGGACACATTGTTATTTTCCTTAGGAATATCACCAGAGATAAATTCATTGTGAAGACAAATAATATTTGACTTGACGTCAGGATTTGATTTGTCTGAAATATTTTCCTCAAATTTATTCAGAACTTCATTAAAAATTAAAGGATCATTAGAAGAACCAGCGACAATCAAAACTACGTCAGGTTTTCGATCGTGATTTCATTCACTCAGATTTGTTAGAAATTTCATCAGAAATATGTGGATCCTATCTGGTACAATAACATGAGAAATCTGATTAGACGTTGATCGAAACATTTGTCTAACAATGATTTTGAAATTCATTTACCTCTGGTTTGCTATGAGATTCCATATCGCTTTGTGAAGTTGTGGATAAGGAAAAATGATCATTAGAAACATCCAAATTAACAAGATCACAATTAAAAACAAAAGGTTCACAAGCAGGGGTCTAATAAACTAAACGTGAGGTCCCGTTTTACTCATCGAGTAGTCAATGACTGGAACGCCTTACC